GGTCGCTTTAATTATTCACCTCCCCCTCCGACTCCACTATGGTGAACATAACATTCATAAACGAGACAAAGTTTGTACAAAATGAGAGCATCATTCACCGTTGTGTTGACAGAACAAAACAACAACTCACATGTGGCTGTAAGACAGCACGTTGGACGTCTAGCTTTTGACAGGCTAATCTTACAACAAAGTGTAACATGGTGATGGCCCAAGGGAAGAAACCTCTCTGAATGAATTGAATTCATGAACCACTTATAGTGAGAAAGTGAAAATGTGAATGTGATCCCTGAGAAGCTCTAATATTGTCTATTAGTTCACAGTGCTAATAACAAAACTGAGTATAAAATATGACTTTTAATTCTTATTTTCAGCATTTTTAAGTTAAGGATTGTTGTTTTCTTTTGTAAAACAAATCAAACTGTGAAAATAGGTCTTCTGTTTCCTATTTCTGTTTTTACTCATGTAGTATGAAATGCATAATTTCCTGCACAGTAGAAGTTTCCCCCCCCAAGAATGATAAGCCTGATCATAGGTTTATCAAAACATACATTTATTCAGGTTAATATTCAACAGATTCAACAGACTCGGAGTAAAGGTACACTGACAGGAGCAGCCTGATGGAGTCAGCAGATCCAGTATAATCAGGAGCTGCCTTTATGGCCTCCATTATTCTGAATTATCCAGGTGCTTCAGGTGAAGTAGCTGCTTATCAAGGTTTAGTGCTGCGGTAGTGCCTCATGAGACCTTGTACTGACCAGTACACTCTCCTTTTAGCACTTGAAGTGCCGTTACGTGTCCTTAAACAGTGCATCATTAATGATTAAATCCACTTGAATTACTTTATACACCACATAAAAGGATGCAGGTGGCATGTGTTGGTGTTTAAAGGTGAGCTGATAAAGACACAACAGCTTTATTTTTTACCCTCCTAACTGTATAGCACTGGGGACGGCAATGATCACCCCACCACTTTAGGACAGACCGAAGAATCTATTGGATGGATTGTCATGAAATTTGTTACAGACATTCGTGGTCCCCAGAGGATGAATCTCACTGACATGCCGAAACATTTTCCTTTGAAGGGCCAAAACTTAAATGTAATGGTGGGCCACCGGCCATATTATTATTGTATTGTTAAAATGCAAAATGGTATGATCCAAAGTTCCCTTAATTAACTGAATTCCTGCAAAGTGTCTAATAGTTAGAGATACTACATATTAAAGTCTGGTAGGGCCAAATCAAACCCTCATGGTGGACCCCACTTTGTGCAGCCCTGCTCTAGCACCAACATAAGAATGTGCAGAATGATATATGGGCAGAGTTTGACACTAGTCACTAGCAGTTTCTCTGGGATCATTGAAAATCTGATCTTTAAGGGGCGGGACCAATGACCATTATTTGTGACATCACAAAGAGTTTGGTCCAGTTTGCAGCTTATACAATTGTAATATAGAAACATGAAGCCACTAATGCGCAAACACTGAGAATAGACTTTACAGTGAAGTAGGAAACATCTTGTGTCTATCAGGAAAATGTAACATCCATAAATTCTGACATTTTAGTAGAGTGGATGCCTTTTTAAGGATTGTAACGTGCACATATATATATATATTCTTATTTTGTGGAAAAAACAAATCCGATACTCAGCACGCTCTACCAGGTGAGCTACCATGCGCCCCCTGGAGGGGATCTTTAACTTTTAATTTTTCCATCATCAGGGCATAATTTAAATTTTGCACAACTTCACAGAGCTGCTAGCATGGCTGTATGCTCTCAGTCTGGTTTTCTACCAGATGGAAGAGAACCAGAGCTCAGTAACTTCAGACATCACACACATATACTGCCCTCCAAAGATTTATTTATAATCAATATGTAATTATCACATCCACAGCTTGAAAATCCCTCTCTCAGGCTCACTCAGACTGTGTTGAATAAGGACTGTAGGAGGATAGAGGCATGCGGTGGAGCTCGGTGCAGGGCAGGGCAGGGCTGAGGTGGAGTGTGGAAGGGTAAACAGGATGCCAAGTCAAATAAAACAAAACTCTGGGCACAACCCCTGGCAGTCTGCTCAGGCCAGCACAGAGACACATAAACACACACACACACACACACACTGTACACATACACAGTTAACAAACAGTGTAGGCGGCACTCAAAACGACAAGTGATCCGGCCCACTCTGTTCACTCAACCAGAGAATTAAGAAAATCTGTACAAAGATGCAGCGTGTCAGCCACAGTCACGCGAAAAGCCGCCTCTCCTGAACAGACAGGATCTTTTTGCCCTTTTCAACCTGTAACAGCAGGAGTACTGACACAGCAGGTGCACACACATACACACACATACATCGCATCTATTCAAAATCTTAGCTGTTACAACACTTCATGATAACTGAGCCTTCAACACAGGACCATAGGAGATGGGCAGGGCTGCTCGGTCAGGGGTTATGTAACTTTAAAAAAAAGAAAAAAAAGAAATCCACATAAGCACCCCAGAGATTATCACAGATTAGCTGCATCTAACCCCAGTGAGGCTGGTCATGGTGGTCTACAGGGTGTGGCCACATATCAAGCAGTCATGCAGTTTACCTGCTGATCAGTCTCATAAGCAGAGGAGGACGTGTTCGCCTTCTGGATGTTATGTAGAGAACTTGACTCCCTTTGTTGCTGCTTCATGGAAATCTCCATTCAGCTTGAGTGTTTGGTTTGGATCACGACTTGAGCGCCGTGTCTTTAACGCATGAAGAGTGATCAGTGCAAGAGTTCAGTGGCAGTATTAATTATAGTGCATGAGTAATAACAACATGGTTCTTGTTTGATCCCTGTGGGGAAAGTTTTTTGTTTTGCGCTCATGTAGGGCAGGGCAGGTCAAAGGTCATTTACAGAGCAGCATTTCTGGAGCTGTCAGCGAGTCAGCAGCTAATGCACATTTTTTATTAGCACTTTTGCCCTTATTTGCAGTTTAAGTACAGAAGCAGACAGAACATGGGGGGAAGAGATAAAGAATATTTAACAAATCTCCCTGGCCAGGATCCAACAGTGACAGTTACTGCAATAACTCATGAGCAGGTTTATGAGTACGTTGTCTGTCCACACTGGAAAATTATTGTTATGGCTGAACGTGTTTCGTTGTTCTCTGCTCTGCCCACGTGTGCTGATTGCTAAATGAGATGCACCTGATCAGTGAATGGGGTTAGACGCTCCTGTGGGAGAGGTTTTTGGAGTGCGGACTGCTGGTGTAACTGCCTGATCCTGGGATTTTGTGCTGCTTTGTATCTTTTGATTACCTTGATTTACTCTTGATTCGGTGTCTTGGTTGTTTCTATTTCTTTATGTTAGTAAATCCCATGGATTTGGTTGTTTTAAAGATGTCTTCCTGTGGTTGTTTTGCATCTGTGGGGTGTTGTTTGCCCCATAGAGCCGCCTATTGGTGGGGGCGTAACATTGAGTATATTTAAAACATGTCATGTGCATACTGAATGATACATTTGTGTTGTTGTTGATGATGATGATGACCCTTTTGACCCACAATGCAATGCACATTGTACAAAGAGGAAAAGGAGGCCTGCACAAAATAAATTGTGAATGGTGGTTAACAGCAAACAAAAAAAATAAAAAGGTTTTACATCTTTAGAGAGACATTTTGCTCCACATTCCCATTTCACATCCAGATGTTACGGAGCAACGTTATCATTCATTTGCAGTTGTGTTTCTGGCCAATGGATGAATATAAGTCCAATATTTGCTCTATTTTTGGTCTCTACCAACTCCTGAGGGAAGTATCTGGCTCATCAGCAGCTACTGTGTCTGTCTACCATTTGGTGCTGGGCAGGTGGTGTACAGAGAGCCTTAAGGGCAATTCAATTCACTTTTATCTGTATACCACCAATTCATACCAAAAGTTATCTCATGACACTTTACAGTAGGTCAAGACTGTACACCTTATAAAATTATTTACAGAAACCCAACAGTTCCCACTTTAAGAGCGAAAAAAAAGTTGAAAGACCATAAAACCAAAACAATAAGCTAAAAGAAGCTAACACACTAACAGATAACTCTCTGTGGGTCTGTCACCATGAGCGACCTCTTTTGCATTACATGCAGTAATTTGATCCAGTGTTAATATAAAAATATTGATTAGTGCATCTTTAAGGATGGTAACTTCTTGCTTGGCTCACAGACACTTCAGAAGGGTGGAAAATTTGCCAATAGAAAAAGGCTTCAACCCAATTGATCTATTTCAGCTTTTACAGTGACTGTGTGGCACCAGAGTAAACTGTGTAAAGTGATCTTTACGAAAAAATGTATTTAAAGTAAATTTTTTCTGTAAACATATAGACTTAAAATACCTGTAATGGCCTTCATCATACTTATTTTGAACAAACAAAAACGTCCAGCAGGTTGATTAATTAATTAAAGTCCACTCAGAGGACCTCAAACAGGTTTAGGTATGTGAGGAGAAAAGGGTCTCGCAGTTAGCTCTTGTAATTGTATACTCCTCTTACTTTGAGCTGGACTTCTGAAGAAAAAAACCCCCAAAAAGTCATGATCTCCTCGAACAACTGGAGCACTTGGCAGTGGAGCGTACATGTACGTAGAAAATTATTAGTATGTTTTTAAGGTGTATAAAAATTGAAATGCACAGACCTGAGACGACGTTTCATAATTTACACACAAACAAATACTGATTATGCAACATTCTCAGTTTTACTGTGTATGTTGATTGTTGTTGCTGTTTCTGTACACACGCATACTACCAGAGCCACAACGTGCCCCGACATGCTTTTTCTGCAACCTCAAAGGGAGTTTCTGGATCGAAATGCATGTCTGTGTTTTAAATACCGTGTACAGTACATTTCCATATGCTTGAAATCCTGTATGAGCATTCAAAGTGACTGGCATGTTTAGACAGGAGGTGGTACAATCTACACTATCTTTAACAGTCCGACACCTGTGAGTTCATACTGTACAAAGGCAAACACACACAAAAAGAAAACTGGCTTCAGAGGTGCTGAAAGGGTATGAAATGTATTGTAAAGTACAGAACAATAATAGCAATAATCAATTAAAACAACACACATGTGCAAGGAGAGTCTGGAGTAAAAGCAAAATATCTTTACAGTGTAAATCAACAGATTTGTTGCCATCAGTGAAGTGCACAAGCACACAGACACACATTTAGACATTAACATACACACCGAGCTGCAACTCGGGTTGAAGGAATTCAGTGTGTTGAATACAGTAAATGACTCATAGCTGACAGATTGTCTCAGCAGCAGAGGTTTCTTATTTGAAGTTTCAGACTTGAGTGTATTTTGCAGTATTTTAAAATAACTGATCTGTAAAACTCTGTACTTCCCCTCACTTGAAAGGTATACTGTTTTAAGGTTTTCTGCTTCTATTTCCCTTTCTACACAGATAGATCGACTTGTACTCAAAGGTGAAAAAACAGGATGTGAAATGGGCTGGATTTACTGTGTCACTCTTCCTGCTAACTAAATTAAGTTTGAAACGTAAAGGATCAGGAAGCAAAAAAACGTGGAAGACTAGAAATACGAAGGAGAAATTTAAAATAGTTCACCCCTGACCACTGAATATAAGCACCACCTTCTGAGATCTAATATAATTTAGCTTATGTCATATTCAACTTTTAAAATAGAAAAACAAAACAAAAATGTACTTTGTCATGAAGTTTATTTCTTCACCCGTCGCTTCATCTCATTTTGTTGTCACACTTCTCTGATTTGTTCTTTGGAAACATTTCATCTTTGTATTACTCACTTACTGTGTGTAAGCCTGATCAATAACATGTTCTTTGTTCGAGCTTTTTTTTTTAATACATATATAAAGGACATTCTTTGGCTGTTTTAGCCTTGTTTCATCCACACAAACCCTGTCGCAAGAGCAGAAAACACACGAGTAAAGACACTCACAGACATTCAAAGACACAAACATACAAGTACAGGTGCAAATGTAACTGTTCAGTTTTTACAGTAGAGTCCCAGTGGGACAGTGCTATGTTTGGGGATTGTTGGTCAGATCACATGTTTGTTTATATTTGTTAGAGAGCGGGAAGAGAGCACTCTGCATTTTAGGATAATACTCAAAGGGGGGCATTCCTTTATTTTTCTTTCTCTTTTAACCTCATCCCCATTTTTGTTATATTTCCATTATTCTCCTCTCTGTTTTAGGTCCAACTATCTCGGTATTTTCCACTTTTTATTAAAACATTCACAAGCTCGGCTAGGTCGAGGTAGGGAGGCGTCCCAACGTCTTACTTCACCTTCTTGTCCTGGGCCCTCCACAACCCGACTCCTCCTCCGCTCAACCTTTTCATTTGGAAGATAATTAGGTGCGTTTATGAACCTTCTGGCAGAGCCAAAGGGTGGGGAAGGGAGTGTCCAGTCCTGTTCACCAGCCCCTCCACCTTTGCTGTTGCTGCGGGGAGTGTGAGTCCATCAGGGGTAGTTTGTATGCCGAGGCTGGTGAGGAGGTCCTGGAGGCGTGTGACGGTGCTCGCTAGCTGTTTCTTCTCCTCCTCCAGTGCGGAAACCTGCTCCCTCAACTGCCCCTCCGACTGGGCCAAAGCCTCCACTCGGCTCTCCAGGCTGCAGACGCGAGCATGTGACACCTGGGTGGGAGGCAGCGATGGTTGAATGTAACACAGTAAAACACAAGATAACTTGTGTCTTTTTTTGTGTATGCGTGTGTTTACCTGCAGCTCCTCAAGCAGGTCGAGGTTCTGCTGTCGGAGGCTCTGATTGGTCCTCTCCAGCTGTGCAGCTCGCTGGTGTTGGTTGAGGTTTGGGGGCATGTCCAGCAGTTCATCCTGCAACACGTGGTACTCCACCTCATAGGCCTGGAGCTGCTTGGACATATCCATCTCACAAACCTAATGCACACAGGAAATGTTTACAACGTGCAGCAACAATTTAAACATTTCTGACATTTATCAACCTCGAATGAACATTCAGAAAAAGAGTGTAAAAAGATTCACATCCATAAATGCACATGGAAAAATTTAAATACAGTCTATATTTTAAACCTTTGTAATATTAACAACAATGTGTTTAAGTTGGGAAATTTGAATGCGTTAGGTTTCCCCTCCTCAGTTTGTTGTTATTCCTGTTTTTTCACTTACCGATTGTAAAGTAGACATTTGTATACCATAACACATCTTTGGCTTTATAATTGTTAAACTCCACCTAGTCCAATCAACTGAAGGCATGTTGTACATTGTGTGTATGTTATGATGTGATGAGGAGATGTGCTGTATTGATGTATGTTTTTATGTGATCAGGTGAGACCAACGGGAATTTTCATGCCTCGGCTGGAGGTTAAATTCTATTCTATAATAGTTTTCTATATGTGGCCCAATCAGCTCAATAAAAATGTGTAAAACAAGAGAACTTTATTGTGTATGTAACAGTGATGTTTAAAGGAAAGTTCCGGGTCATTACAACTTGGGTTTTATTTGTGTAGTTTGGCCATTATCTGTTATGATAACATTGTACGGCCACAACACACACACAAAGTTTGTCAGGGTAAGAAACGTCCAGATGATAAGGTTTTGGATTTAAGCTGAAATGTGTTGGCCATATTAAAGTCATTTTACTACACTGAGGATTCAGAGTGCTTTGAATTTGTCTTTCTAGTTTTAATTTGAGTCCATAGAGTACCATAATTCATTGCACACTGGCTTTTATAAAAAACATACTTTCTGCTCATAAAGCAAAGACGCAAACCAGATATTCCTTTTTATTTTGGTTTAGCAAGATTTTTCAACTTTATTTGGAAATAAAAGCCAACCCGAGTGCACCAGAAATATCCAGATGTATATAAAAGACAGGTAGTTGTAATAAGGTCGTAATATCAGCATTTGCCTTTTTTTCTCTTTGTTTGATTAAACCTTGTACAACTGTCTCACTGCAATGCAATGTTATTACTGATATGACTGATGGCCAAAACTATGAACAAAAGGTTGCATGAAGCTGGAATTTCCCTTAAAGTGTTTACTTCTCACGTTACAAATTTGCAGATTGTTGTCCTCTACCTACAAATTCTATATTACTGCATAGTAGAAAATAAGCAACGCATCCTGTAAGTACACTACCTCTTTTTTCCTTTTTGTTTTAGTGAAACTGTGAGTCACAGCACAGTTAACATATAGACAAACAGAGGTAGATAAGTGGCCCTCGAGGGAAAGTACCAGGTAGCTGGAGCATTACTCAGCACCCTATTGCTATATCATGCAAATTAGAAGGTGAATGCATACTTTCTAAACTATGCCATATCTTGATAATACCACTACGTGTCTATAAGTCTCCCATCTCAAGACACCTGGCAGCCTTCATTACTATAAAAGTTAATGTGAAACGTTCCATCTTGACATCAGTTTACATGAGACTGACTCATTACTCGAGGAACACACTGATCAGGACTATGTTTGGTTATTGGAGTCAATTGAAACACTTGAGCCTGATGTTGTTGACATACAGTAGTTTTCTTGTTTTTCTTTCACCATAAATACTGACGCATGAGGTTAAAGGTCAAATGACTTCACTGACACTCCACCCAAACAGCTGTTATAAGGAGAGGGTGTGGTTCACATTGATAGCATCTGTCACTCAAGCAGAATATCATTTTGTTGTTTAGTCATGAAGACAATTATATTGTCTCCACCAGTGCCATGAGTTGTAAAACCCCATTTTAAGATGAAATACATGTGTTTAAATGTTCTCGGGAACCATAATACTTCCCTCAAATACACTCAAACACAGTATCATCACATATTTACACACAGACGTACAAGATTAAACAAGAGCTTATCTGGTCACTGATCCACAGGAGGTAGAAATCACTGCTGTATGTCACTTTGAGTTAAATGTGGAAGTCTGGTGACATTCTAGATGTTTTATTGTCAACTAAAGAAAAGCCCAAAACCGACAATTAATTAATCCTTCTAAGTACTGTGTGTGTATCCAAAAACCTCAAGTATTTTATTCCTCTGCGCCACAGACCTTCATTGTCGTCCAAAAACTACCAACAACACAAATAAGCCTTCATTCCATCATGCTCTTTCATTATGAACACTGAAACTGTAGTCAAGCCCACAAACACTGTCCTCCTCCACTAAATACTCACCAGTGCACTAAACGTGAAAGTGTGAAACTCTCAACTCCCACTTGAGTAACATTTGTCTGAAACTGCAGTACGCAGCTGTTTTAGGAACTTATTTGGGGTTTCTTATCCATCACTTATATTCCCATTTTGAAAGATGTATGTTCTCAGTAGAAACAAATGGGTTTGGGTACCAAAGAGAGAAAAAAGAAGGGTTTTGCTGACAATAAGAAAAATATTACAGACTTAACAAGATTAACAATGATTAGATTATTAAAAATGTCTTGCTTCCCCACAATATGATGAAATGCAATACTATTACTATAATAATCCCCAAATTTACAATAAATAAGGTCCATAAAAATATTCACTTTGTATTGTATCCCAGTTAGTTGGGGGTAGTTGCACATTACTGAATGATTTGTTAATCTAACCTGGTTGATGGTTTTCTCCATCTGCACCAGGCCCAGGTTGGGCAGTGTGGTCTTGATGAAGTCCACTATGGACTCCAGGCTCTCATGCTGCAGGATCAGGGGCTTGTGGCTTCCCAGGAGGCTCAAGGCCACTTTAAAGATGACCTCAGACCCCTGCAGGAACAACATATCTGACAGAGGACACAGAGGAGTCAAAGGTTACTGACGAAGAAAAGAGAAATAAAGAAAACAATGAGATTGGTTGGAAAAGGCCATGACGTGATAGCCTTTTTTCGAATTATGTAACGTGAAATTAATAATGATAGGTGCTTACAGCCCAGCTTACTGTGTTGATTGGTGACTTAAAAGGTTATTTTAAATGATAGATGCTTTGACGTCAATAAAGAGGTTTAAGCAAACAGAAATATAGGGCAGGGTGAATCTGGTGAAGCGGGAGGAGTAGGTGTGTGTTTGTATGCGTGCTTTGAATGCATCAGGGTGGGGTAAGGGTTTGGTAGGATTGCATGAGATCATACAGCAGATTAAGATATGGGAGTGGAGGTGTGGAGCCCCACATGTTGTATGCTACCAAAGACTTCACAGTACTATGATAATGATGCCCTAACTGCAACACAAACAAACCACAACACCGCCGCCACACAGAATGCCCCGTGGCAACACACACACACACACACACACCCACACACACACACACCACACACACACACACACACACACACACACCCCCACAACACACCACACACACACACACAGTGTTACACTTGGATGAGCAAGAGGAGCCAGTACGTCTGGTTCAGTGACTGTGCACCATGTAAGAAATTAGGCATGAAACCAACGGTGAGGAAGCAATGAGGAAGACAAAAGCATATATATGCAGAAAAAATACGTATACAAGGGCTTGTGGGTTTGATATTTATAAAAATGATCAAAGGTCATTTCACAGGAAAGACTCTGTGTACATGACTCACTATTATAGAGCAAACTGCTTTTTAAGTTTGAAGAAAAGTTATAATTATTATCATAAAACTTTTATTATCAAAAACAGTTTATACTTTAACAAAATACAATGTCCCACTCCCATCTTATTTGTCCCGCTGCCAAACCTATTAGACTTCTTGTATGTACTTTGCTTTACAACCTTCTGTTTCCTCTTGTTTTGCCACGTCCTTCAATCATAGTTATTTTCATGCTGCTCCACCGCTTTCCTCCCCCTTCTATCACTCTGGGTTCAAGATCTAATTAGAAAAGTTAACTGTGGAGAAAACATCTTTCCACACCCAACCACCCTGCTTCTTTCCTACATCTAAACTGCCAAGGAAGAAGAAACGGTGTGGTGACCAAGTAAAACAAGAGTGTGATTTATGAGCAGATACATACATACACACTCTCAAAGCTTACCGAAGACTCTGGCCACAAAGCCGAGGGGGAAGTGTGAGGCGAAGGCAGTGAGAAACCAGGGGGTGGCGTATAAGCTGGGCCCGATCTCCTGCTGCTCTAGGTGGCTGTAAAGATCCCTGTGGTAGTCGTGAAGCAGCCGCGACAACTGGTACATCTGAATCTGACATGGACAACATATCACAGATTGTTTTTGTTGGTTTGACTGGGAGCATGTGGTTGAGTGTACATTATGTACAAATTGTGCTTTTATTATTTTACACATGGTTTTGAAGTTGGGAACCTATGCACGTAGCTGTAGCATGACGTGCTACTGAGATACCATATGGAGACCACAGGTTTTGTTTTTCTTTGACAAGTTTCTGATGCGGGTAGAGATTAAAGACAACATCAAGAAAGTTTAAGCAAGGGTCAATTATCTGGCCCTTTTCAGTTAAGGAAACTTCCCACAGTTGCCTTTTTTCACAAAGTGAATGAAAGAATTACATAATAACTGTGGGCGACATAATTCAAGCATTACATGGTATCATGTACACAACATCTGTATAGTGTTGTAAAAGTTCTATAACAGGATGAAATCTGATACTGAATTATGATTCAAAACCTGTCATGTCAACATGTCACAGGTATCTATGGCAGAACTCCAGTTAACCCCTTTTATCAAATATAAAACCAGCTAAATTCTCACGCAAGGCACCAATAACCACGTCTCAATCAAACTAATGGTGTCACTTTGTTAAAACATGAAAGACGTAAGCCGATCACTCTGATTCTGAAAACAGAGGAGGGAAGACATGCATCAAATTTCATATACAGTAAACATAATGTGAGATGAATGGACGTATAAAAAGATACCCGCAGTCCTCTCTTTGATGTAATTGAAGTATGAAGTGTGTGAGTTACAGGGAGAAACGATCTAGGTTAAGGTGTGAAGGCAGCAGTGACAGACTCAGTACATGTGTGCTATATACGTGGAACAAAGAGACTGTTTTGTTTGTACATATGTGTGGATTTTACCTGCAGGATAATCATGTCTGGCCTGTACTGTTTGCGGAGCCCCACGTCATACATTAGAAATTTGAGCATGTTGAAGGCGTCCTCTTCCCCCATGTGTAACAGCAGCACTCCAGCAATGAAGGACAGGCCCTGGCAGTAGCCCACCTACAATAACAACAATAACAAACTTGACGTCCACACAGACAAGAAAGGTGAAATAAAGTTTAAGTCTAAAAGACAGGTGACATTTAGTCCATCAAGT